GTTGGGAGGCTGAGGCAGGAGAAATGCTTAAACCCAGGAGGCAGAGGTTGCAGTGAGCCAAGATAGTGCCACTGCACTCCACCCTGGGTGACAGAGTGAGACTCTGTCTGAAAAAAAAAAAAGACACAAATAGACTGAAAGCAAAGGAAGAGAAGAATATATTCCATGCAAAGGAAACCAAAAGCAAGCAGCAGTAGCTATACATTTTTTTTCTTTTTTTCTTTTTTTTTTTTTTTAAACCACCATTTTTTTAACCACCATTTTTTTAAAAATCATGACTATATAAGGAGTAGCTATACTTATGATAAGAGACTTGTATCAAACACAGTAGGGATGAAATCAGGAAGAGGATACAACAATTGTAAATATATATGCACCCAATATCAGAGCACCCAGATATGCAAGGCAAATATTATTAGATCTAAAGGGGAAGACAGACTCTAATACAATAATACTTGGGGACTTCAACACCCCACTTTCAACAATGGACAGATCATATACATAGAAAATCAATGAAGAAACACCAAGTTTAAACTGACTTTAGACCAAATGGACTTAAAAGACACTGACAGATCTTTTCATCCAACAGCTACAGAATACATATTTTTTTTCATAAGCACATACAATATTTTCAAGGAGAGGCCACATGTTAAACCACAAAACAAATCACAAAAATTAAAAGAATTAAAATCACATCAGGTACCTTTCTGATCACAATGAAATAAACCTAGAAATCAATAACAGGAGGAACTTTTAAAACAGTAAAAATAAATGGAAATTAAATAACATGATTCTGAATGACCAATGGGTAATGAAGAAATTAAGAAAAAAAATTTAAATGTCTTAAAATGAATGAAAATAGAAACACAACATATAAAAATGTATGGGATGCAGCAAGAGCAGTTTTAAGAGGAAAGTATATAGCAATAAACACCTACATCAAAAACAATAAAGATCTGGCTGGGCATGGTGGCTCACACCTGTAATCCCAGTGCTTTGGGAGGCCAAGGCAGGAGGACGACTTGATGCTGGGAGTTCAAGACCAGCCTAGGTCATATAGCAAGACCCTATCTCTTAAAAAAAATTAAATTAAATTAAATTAGCTGGTCTTGATAGCGCATACCAGTAGTCCTAGCTATTCTGGAGGCAGAGGTGGGAGAACTGCTTGAGCCCAAGAGTTCAAAACTGAGGTGTGAGGATCACTTGAGCCCAGGAGTTTGAGTTGATTGTGCCATTGCACTCTAGCCTAGGTAACAAAGTAAGACCCTGTCTCTTAAAAAAAAAAAAAAAAAAAAAAAAAAAATCTAACAATGCTTCTCAAGGAACTAGAAAAGAACAAATCAAACCCAAAATTACAAGGAAAGAAATAACAAAGATTAGAAGAGTAATAAATAAAACTGAGACTTAAAAAAAAATTCAAAGGATCAACAAAATGAGAAGTTCGTTTTCTGAAAAGATAAGAAACCATTAGACTAACCAAGAGAAAAGACTCAAAATCAAATGCACACAAAAATGACACTGTAACTGATACCACAAAAGTACAGAGTCATTAGAGACTATTATGAACAACTACAAACCAAAAATTTGGAAAACCTACAGAAAATAAATTCCTAGACACATATAACCCATGAGGATTGAACCAAGAAGAAACAGAAAACTTGAACTGACCAATTCTGAGTAACAAGATTTAATCAGTCATAAAAGGTCACCCATCAAAGGAAAGTCCATGATCTGATGGCTTCACGGCTAAATTCTACCAAACATTTTAGAAGAATTAAATATGAATTCTTCTGAAACTTTCTCAGAATAATGAAGAGGAGGGAATTATTCTAAACTCATTCCACAAGCCAGCATTACCATGACACAAGCAACAGACAAGGACACACACATGCAAAAGAAAACTACAGGCCAATATTCCTGATGAACATAAATGCAAAACTCCTCAGCAAAATACTAGCCAACCAAATCTAAAAGTACATCAAAAAGACTGTTTACCATGACCAAGTAGAATTCATTCCAGGGATGCAACAATGGTTCAACATACACAAAACAATAAACATGATACATCAACAGAATGAAGAACAAAAAATGTGATCATCTCCATAGATGGAGAAAAAGCCTCTGGTAACATTCAATATCCCTTCATGATGAAAACTCTTAACAAATTACACATAATAATAGAAAGAACGGGCCGAGTGTGGTGGCTCACACCTGTAATCCCAGCACTTTGGGAGGCCGAGGCGGGTGGATCACGAGGTCAGGAGATCGAGACCATCCTGGCTAACATGGTGAAACCCCATCTCTACTAAAAATACAAAAAATTAGCCGGGTGTGGTGGTGGGCGCCTGTAGTCCCAGCTACTTGGAAGGCTGAGGCAGGAGAATGGTGTGAGCTGAGATCACACCACAGCACTCCAGCCTGGGCAACACAGTAAGACTCCGTCTCAAAAAAAAAAAAAAGAAAGAACGTACCTCAACATAATAAAGGAAATAAATAACATACCACAGCTAACATCATTCTTAATGGGAAAGAGCTGAAAGCTTTCCCTCTATAATCTGAAACAAAACAAGTATGCCCACTTTCACATCTTTTATTTAACAAAAGTACAAAAAGTCTGAGACAGAGGTATCAGGCAAGACAAAGAAATAAAGGGCATGCAAATCAGAAAGGATGAAGTCAAATTATCCCTGTATGCACATGACAGGATCAAATATATAGAAAACCCTAAACTCCAAAAGTGGCACTAAAAAACTCTTAGGACTGATAAATTCACTGAAGTTGCAGGATATAAAATCAACATGCAAAAATCAGCAGCATTTCTACACACCAACAATGAATTAGCTGAAAAATAAATCAAGAAAGCCATCCCATTTATAATACTTCAACAAAAATAATATAAGAATACAAGGAAAACTATATAACACTGATGAAGTAAATCAAAGAGGACACACATAAAAATGGAAAAACATCCCATGGTCATGGATTAGAATGGTTAATATTATAAAAATGAACATACTTTCCTGTAAGAGATAGCTTATGGAAAAAAATGAACATATTACCTCAAATGATCTACAGATTCAATGCACTCTCTAACAAAATATCAATGACATTTTTCACAGAAATAGAAAGAGTAATCCTAAAATTCATGATATCACAAAAGATACTGAATATCCAAAGCAATCCTAAGCAAAAAGAACAAAATGGGAGTTTTGTTCACACTACCTGACCTTGAAATATACTACAAAGTGATGGTAAACAATACAGCATGGTACAGGTATTTTTCAAAAACCACACAGACCAGTGTAACAAAACAGAGAGCCCAGGAATAAATCCCATTTAGAGCCAACTGATTTCTAACAAAGGCACAAAGAACATTCACTGGGAAGAGGATAGTCTCTTCAATAAATGGTGCTGGGACACTGGATATTCATATGCAAAAGAATGAAACTAGACTCATCTCTCACCATATACAAAAATCAACTCAAAACACCAAGTATGCTGGCTCATACCTGTAATCCTAGCTACTCAGAAGGCTGAGTTGAGGCTGACTCTAGTCCAGGAGTTCAGGATCAAGCTGGGCAATGTGAGACCATGTCTCTAAAAACTAATTTAAAAGCAAAAACAAAAATTGGGAATGTATTTTTAGGGCAATTTGAATCTATGCTCTCAGGATAATCAACTAAAAATGGTTTAAAAGCTTAAATGTAAGAGCAAAAACTATGCAACTACTAGAAGAAAACATAGGGGAAATGCTTCAGGATATTGGTCTGGGCAAAAATTTTATGATGACCTAAAAATCAAGATAACAAAAGCACAAATAAAGGGATTACATTAAACTAAAAAACTTCCGCACAGCAAAGGAAACAGAATGAAGAGACAACTAGCAGAGTGGGATAAAATATTTGCAAACTATTCATCTGAAAGGGATTAATATCCAGAATACACCAGGAACTCAATAGCAAAAAAAAAAATAATAATAATAATAATAGAAAATCTGATTTTAAAATGGGTAAGGTGAATAGACATTCCTCAAAAGGAGACATACAAATGGCCAAGTATATGAAAAAATGCTCAACATCGCTAAACATGGAAATGCAAATCAAAACCAAAATGAGATATAATTTCACCTCAGTTAGGATGGCTATTACCAAAGATAAAAAATAAAAAATGCTGCTGAGAACATGGAAAAGGGGAAACTCTTATATATGGCTGGCAGGAATGCTAATTAGTACAGCCATATGGAAAACAGTAAGGATGTTCCTCAAAAATCTAAAACTACAGCCAGGCATGGTGGTGTGTGCCTGTAGTCCCAGCTACTCAGGAGGCTGAGGTGGAGGACTGCTTGAGGCCAAGAGTCTGAGACCAGCCTGAATAACACAGCAAGACCCCATTTTAAAAAATTAAAAATAAACAAAAGTTAAAAATACAACTACCATATGATCCACTGGTAGTGATCTATGTCACTACTGGGCATATATCCAAGAAAAAAAAAATTCATATGTCAAAGAGAGATCTACACTCCTATGTTTATTGAAGCACTATTCATAATAGCTAAGAAATCAATCTAAGTGTCCATTATCAGATGATTGAAGAAAGAAAACATGGCATATATACACAATGGAATACTACTCAGCCATGAAAAATAAACCTGTCATTCACAGCAACATGAATGAGCTTGAAAGACATTAAGTGAAATAAGCTAGGCACAGAAAGATAAATACTGTCTGTTTCTACTCATATGGAAGCATAAAAAGTTGAGTAGAATGGTGGTAACCAGAGGCTGGGAAGGATAGCAGCGAGGCAGACAGAGATTGGTTAACAAATACAAAATTACAGCAAGTGAGATTCCATTTCAATAAGTTGTAGTGTTCTGTGGCACTGCAGAATGAGTACAATTGGCAATACATTTTATACATTTTCAAATAGCTAGAAAAGCAGACTGTGAATGTTGCTAAACACAAAGAAATGATAAATGCTTGAGATGGATATGCTAATTACCCTGATCATTACTCTTAGCACACATATATTGAAATATCACACCGAACCCCATAAACATTATGTGTCAATTAAAAACAATAAAAGAAACAAAAAGAATACCAAAAGAGAAATTCCAAAATATTCTGATTAAACATATTAATTACTATGACTGGACTAAATCCGTAGTGACAACTACCTGCATATACACATGCAGGTTCACCTGTTAAAATTCCAGTCACTTTATAGTCAGCCTACACACAATCTTCTGTAAGACTGAAAAATGAGATTCCTTCTTTGTGTTTATTTTCTGAGTTTATCATAATCCTTTAATTTAGCTACATGTCTTATTTCATTTTTGGTTCCAAAATGTCCTCTAGAAAATTGCTGAGGTGAACTTTTAACTATTTACTCTCTCTAAAGAGGAGTAAAGAAGCTGAGAAACCACAATCAGAGGGAAGAACTAGGACTCCCTGGATTACATTATGTACAAACAGCTACAATATCATCTCCATCCCGCAGAAAAATAAAGAAAAACAAATTAACAAGTAGATCCAGATCAAGAAAAAAGTATGTGTACCGGGTGGTTAAAGACACCTGAAGAAACAATTTTTTAAAAAAATCAAAGCGTTTGAAGTGTGCAGTAAAATGTGCCCATTCATATGTACATCCTTATCTCCTTAAATGTCAAAGTATTTCATAACTCAAGCCTCCATCTTTCTCATAAAGATATATGCTTCTGCTCCTCAAGAGTGGAGACAATGCTGTGGAACAAAGTAGGCTTTCACAAAATGTTTTCAAACAAACCATTTGTCTACAGCACTGGACAGCAGTGAATGTATACACAGGGAAAATAAAGGGGATGAGGCTCTTTTGTTTCTGAAACATTTTCCTCTCCCAAATAAAATAACGAGGAGATGACAAATTGCCATGGGCTTGTCAGGGAAGTCTGAAAGAAGCTGTGCTTCCATTTCTTTCTCTTCCCTATTACTCCTCCTCCTTTGCTTGAATGTCCCTGAGATAACATTTCACTGTAAACTAACAAGAAAGATGTGGCTGAAGGTTTTCCTAAGTGCACAATAACCACTGGGTCTCTCTCATGGGCGAATTATCAGATGTAGAATAAGACTCTTGGCTGTGTCAATTTCTAACATAATTGTTTAGATGACAAATGATTATCTAAAACAGGTTTTCACACAGAGATGATGCTTATGAAGCTTCTCTTCAGTATGAATGACCAGACGGTACGAAGTTTCCTCTCACCACAGATTTTCTTCAAGTGGTGATATTCAAAAACTCTTTCCCTAACAGGAATTCGTGGATGTTGACTGAAGTGTGTAAAAGGTCTTCCCACATCTGTTACAATGGTAGGGTTTCTCCCAGGATGAATCCGTTGATGTCGAGTGAGGAGGAATGAGCGGCAATTGAAGGCGTTTCCGTATTCACTGCACTCACTGGGCTACTCTCAGTCTGGATGATGGAGTGTTGAACAAGATCTGTGCTCTCGCAAGAAACGTTCCCACTCTGGATGCGTTCATGGGACTTTTCTGCGGTGTGAATCCGCTGGTGCCTTGTGAGGGGTGACCTGCGGTTGAAGGCCTTCCCGCACTCCACGCACTCATAGGGTTTCTCTCCAGTGTGGATGCTGAAGTGTCGAATGAGGTTTGTGGTCCGACAAAAGGCTTTCCCACATTGGATGCATACGTAGGGCTTCTCTCCAGTATGAATCCACTGGTGCCTTGTCAGCCCTGACATGCGGGTAAAAGCCTTTCCACACTGTAAACATTCATAGGGCTTCTCTCCAGTGTGGATGTTGAAGTGTCGAATGAGGTCTTTTCGAATGCTAAAGGCTTTCCCACATTCTTTGCACTCAAAAGGCTTTTCTCCAGTGTGGGCTCTTTCATGCAAGACATAGGTGGAGTAGTGAGTGAAGGCCTTTCCACACTGACTGCACACAAAGGGCTTCTCACCAGTGTGAATCCGCTCATGCTGCTTGAGGTGTGACCTGCAGTTGAAGGCCTTCCCACACTCAAGGCACTTAAAGGGCCTCTCCCCAGTATGGATAAAGAAGTGTTGAATGAGGGCTGTACTCTCATAAAAGCCTTTTCCACATTCGCTGCATGCGAAGGGTTTTTTCTCATTGTGGCTCTTGTTATGCAAAACGTAATTGGAGCGGTAGGTAAAGGCCTTTCCACATTCATTGCACACAAAAGGCTTCTCTCCACTGTGAACCCGCTGGTGCCGTGTAAGGTGTGACCCGCGGTTGAAGGTCCTTCCACATTCGCTGCACACAAAGGGCTTATCTCCATTGTGAGTCCGCTGGTGCCGTGTGAGGTGTGACCTGCGGTTGAAGTCTTTCCCACACTCCATGCATTTATAGGGCTTCTCCCCAGTATGGATGATGTGATGCTGAAGGAGGTGTTTGCTCTTGCCGAAGGCTTTCCCACATTCTGGGCAATCATAGGGCTTCACACGAGGGAGAATCTGCTCATGCTGAACAAGGAAGCAATTCTCATTAAACATTTCCTCGAATTTATAGGAATTTTCCCCTTCGTGAATCAAGGAATCTGTAACTGGTCCATATGAGTCAAATCCATAAAGAGCATCTTCTGGTGAGACTTGGTTCTGTATCATCATTGAACATATACCATCAGCTGTCGCCAAACCTTCATTTTCAAGGCTCATTTTCCCATGGAGATTCTCACTCTGTGGGTCTGTCCCTGGTCTCAAAAAGTATTCCTGCATTTCAGATGGCCCATCCTGATCCATGGCCTGCCCAAAATAGGAGTATCCTGGGACTCCCTGTGCCAGCTGTTCCTGGAGTGAGACTTCCTCAGGCAAGGCCAGGTGAGAAGGGATAGGCTCTACAGTCTCAGGTTTTGTGCTGTCACCTGAAGGGAATACAATACACAAAAGAGCTTATTAAGATAGTATAGAAGAAATGAAACCACCATTTTGGTGAGAACAGTAAGATGAAAATAGTGATGATTTGAAAATAGCTATGATTTGATGGGCTGGGTACAGTGTCTGATGCCTGTAATCTCAGCACTTTGGGAGGCTGAGGCAAGTGGATCACTTGAGGTCAGGAATTCGAGACCAGCCTGGCCAACATGGTGAAACCTCATGTCTACTAAAAATATAAAAATTGGCCAGGCTTGGTGGCAGGCGCCTATAATCCCAGCTACTTGGGAGGTTGAGACAGAAGGATCGCTTGAACCTGGGAGGTGGAGGCTGCAGTGAGCCAAGACTGAGCCACTACACTCCAGCCTGGGTGACAGAGGGAAACCCATCTCAAAAAAAGGCCAGGTGCAGTGGCTCACGCCTAAAATCCCAGCACTTTGGTTTGGGAGGTTGAGGTGGATCACCCGGGATCCACCCACCTCAGCTTCCAAGGTAGCTGGACTACAGGCATATGGACCACGCCTGGCTTTTTTGTTTGTGTTTTTGTTTTTTTAGATGGAATTTCACTCTGTTGCCTAGGCTGGAGCACAGTGGCATGATCTCAGCTCACTGCAACTTCTGCCTCCTGGGTTCAAGCGACTCTCCTGAATTAGCCTCCCGAGTAGCTGGGACTACAGGCGCCCGCCGCCTCGCCCAGCTAGTTTTTTGTATTTTTTAGTAGAGACGGGGTTTCACCGTGTTAGCCAGGATGGTCTTGATCTCCTGACCTCGTGATCCGCCCGTCTCGGCCTCCCAAAGTGCTGGGATTACAGGCTTGAGCCACCGCGCCCGGCCAATTTTTTGTATTTTTTTTTAAAGAGATGGGGTTTCACCATGTTGCCCAAGCTGGTCTCGAACTCCTGGGCTCAAGTAATCCGCCCACCTCTGCCTCCAAAGTGCTGGGATTATAGACGTGACCCACCGTGCCTGGCCAACTCTTGAAAATTTTAAAGAGAAACCCGGGGGAGAAGCTCAAGCAGAGTACAGACTGGAATAGAGATCCCCACTCACAGTCAAGATGAGACTAGGTGGACAACATAATGATGACACGGTATGGTGAGCTTGCTCAAGAATATGTCAAGGTGCTACAAGAGGCCAGGGAAGGGGCACTTAATGTAGCCTAAATGGGGCAGGGACAGGAAGAGGCCAAGGAAGCTTCCCAGAGGATGCTTCATGAGCTTAAAGTGAGAAGCACATATTAGCCTTAGGACATAGAATATACAAAGACACGGAGTCTTCAGCGAATCTAGGGGACTGCAGTGAGAGGAGGCAGCCCCATGAGAAGTTAAGGCTGGTCAGGATGCAGTGACAGGAAGGGGCAGAGAGGAAGCTGATGCTCAAGATTCTGCCTCAGGGACAGCCAGGGATGGCCACGGCTACTCCTAGGACAGAGCTCCTAGGACAGAGGGTGAACAGAATCCTGGTAGACATATAGAATCCACTGTGTCAGGGTGAAAAATAGGCGAAAAGGCTAACAAACAACTGGATCTTGAAAAAAGAAAATAATAAAACTTCTGCCAGGCACAGTGGCTCATGCCTGTAATCCCAGCACTTTGGGAGGCCGAGGCTGGCAGATCACGAGGTCAGAAGATCGAGACCATCCTGGCTAACACGGTGAAACCCCGTCTCTACTAAAAGTACAAAAAATTTGCCGGGCGTGGTGGCGGGTGCCTGTAGTCCCAGCTACTCGGGAGGCTGAGGCAGGAGAATGGCGTGAACCTGGGAGGTGGAGTTTGCAGTGAGCCAAGATCGCGCCACTGCACTTCTGCCTCGGAGACAGTGAGACTCCGTCTAAAGACAAAAAAAAAAAGAAAATAATAAAACTTTATATCAAGACAATAAAGATCTACCTGAATGAAGAAATTGATAATATAAAGTTATCAATTCTCTCAAAACTGATCCAGAAATTCAATACAACCCTGAGAAACAGTAACTTGAAAACACTAGAAAAAGACACAATCTGAAAGGTACTGCCTGTAATCCTGGCTACTCATGAAGCTGAGCCCAGGAGTTCAAGACCAGCCTGGGCAACATAGCCAGATCCCATCTCTTAAAAAAAATAGTAATAATAAATAAAAGGAATGTGTGGATTAGCCTTGGAGAGTATTTAAGAGTAACAAGGACTGGCTATGAGATAATAGATGAAGCCAACATAAAAGTGAAGATCAGAGTAAGAAGAGAACCAAAGTCTAGAGAGAATAGAAAAAGAGAATCTAAGAGGGCCCAATACTGAAGCACAAAATAGGAAAACTGTGCTGAATTGTGAGTTCATACTAAAGGGAGGTTAAGAGTGTAGCTCTGGAGTCAGAACATCTCAGTTCAAATCTTGCCTGCACCAAATCAGCTGATGTCAGATAAATGATTTAGCTGATCCTAGTCTCCACTTCCTCATCTGAAAAACAGAAACTCTCAGATTCTGTCTCACAGGGTGTGATGACGGTTAAATAGGAAAATTCTTGGCTGGGCACAGTGGCTCATGCCTGTAATCCCGTTACTTTTGGGAGGCTAAGGCAGAAGAATTGCTTGAGGCCCAGAGTTCAAGAGTAGCCTGGGCAATATAGCAATACCCCATCTCTACCAAAAAAAAATAAATTAGCCAGACATTGTAGCGTGAGCCTGTAGTCCAGCTACTTTGCAGAATTGCTTGAGCCCAGAAGTTTAAGGCTACAGTAAGCTACGATGGTGCCACTGCACTCCAGCCTGGGTGACAGAACAAGATCCTGTCTCTTAAAAAAGGGGAAAATTTCTATAAAGCACTTGGCACAGTGCTAGACAGTACATAAGAGATCGGTAAATTGTGGGCCATCATCAGTTATCATTATGGTCACTGTTGTATTTGAAAATTAGGAATGAAAGGAGTGACCTTACAATGGTTTCTGTGCTGTGATACACAGAAACCTACCACAGGGACTCAAACAGTAAAATGAAATGATGTTTTTTTGTTTGTTTATTTTTTCGAGATGGGGTCTCGCTCTGTCATCCAGTCCGGAGTACAGTGGTGTGATCTTGGCTTACTGCAACCTCCACTTCCCAGGCTCAAGCGATTCTCCTACCCCATCCTCCTGAGTAGCTGGGATTATAGGCACCTGCCACCACACCCAGCTAATTTTTTTATTTTTAGTAGAGATGGGGTTTCACCATGATGGCCAGGCTGGTAACTCCTGACCTCAAGTGATCTGCCTGCCTAGACCTCCCAAAAGGGAATGATGTTATCAAGTGATGATGAAGATGTGGAGCACTGGAAGCTTTCACATGTCCATGGTCAGAAAGTGAAATGGTACATTCTGCAGAACTGCTGGGCAGTTTCTTTTAAAGCTGAACATGGCCACACAGGGTAGCTCATGCCTATAATCCCAGCACTTTGGGAGGCCAAGGAGGGGAGATCAGTGCAGGCCACGAGTTCAAGATGAGCCTGGGCAACACAGTGAGACCCCATCTCTACGAAAGATAATAAAGAAAAAAAGAAAGCTGAATATACAACCTACTCCATGACCTGATGTGTACACACATTAGAGTATATTCTAACAGAATTTACTGTTAACAGAAAATTCAGAAACCAGTATTTACATCCACCAGAAAATATGAATAAGAATACTCTCAGCAACATCCTTCATAATATCCAAAAACTGAAAACAACAGGAACATCCATCAGCAGAGTAATGGACAAATGAATGGCAGTTTCACATACAATGAGAAACTACAACATACTGAGAATGAACCAGCTCCGACTGCATATAAACACGTGAAAGGAATAACACAGACGTGATGATCAAAAGACAGATATGTCAGAGAACACACTGTGCAGTTCAACAACAACCAACCAATCTGTGCTCTTGAAGTCTAAATACGAGCGAATAGAATTAAAGAGGCTATTGAGGGCATAAAATCCTGATGAGGAGCTGGAGATCGCCTGTGTATTGATGTAGGTGGCAGTTACTTTGGTTTATACATAAGCAAAAATTCAGTGAATGGACTTCTGTCTTTTTTTTTTTTTTTTTTTTTTGAGACAGAGTCTCCTTTTGTCGCCTAGGCTGGAGTGCAGTGGCACGATCTCGGCTCACTGCAAGCTCCGCCTCCTGAGTTTAAGCGATTCTCCTGCCTCAGCCCCCCGAGTAGCTGGGACTACAGGTGTGCACCACCACGCCTGGCTAATTGTTTCATATTTTTAGTAGAGACGGGATTTCGTCATGTTGGCCAGGCTGGTCTCGAACTCCTGACCTCAGGAGATCCACCTGCCTCAGCCTCCCAAAGTGCTGGGATTACAGGCGTGAGCCACCACGCCCGGCCTCAGTGAATGGACTTCTTAAGATTTTTGCACAACACAGCATATGAGTTACAGCTTATTCAAAAAGTGAAAGAGATGGAGGCTTATTATGATGCCCAGGCTGGTCTCGAACTCCTAGCCTGAAGCAATCCTCCCATCTCAGCCTCCAGAGTAGCTGGGATTAGACGCATCTGGCTTCCATTTCAGGGTTATTAATTGACTTGACTGCATTATTGTTGTATCTCAGAGAATACAGAAGCCCAAGGAGAGAGACAGAGAGGGAATGGCCAGTAAGTGGAGCAGTCAGAAAACACATAACATTTATCAATAAAGCTGTCTTACATGGTGCAGTTTGAGGTGCCTCATAGCAATTACAACAGTAACATCAAAGATCACTGATCACAGATCACCGCAATAGATATAATATTAATAAAAAACATTTGAAATACTGCAAGAGGCCAGGCGCGGTGGCTCAAGCCTGTAATCCCAGCACTTTGGGAGGCCGAGGCGGGCGGATCACGAGGTCAGGAGATCGAGACCATCCTGGCTAACACGGTGAAACCCCGTCTCTACTAAAAAATACAAAAAACTGGCCAGGCGCGGTGGCTCACGCCTGTAATCCCAGCACTTTGGGAGGCCGAGGCGGGCGGATCACAAGGTCAGGAGATCGAGACCACGGTGAAACCCCGTCTCTACTAAAAATACAAAAAATTAGCCGGGCGCGGTGGCGGGCGCCTGTAGTCCCAGCTACTCAGGAGGCTGAGGCAGGAGAATGGCGTAAACCCAGGAGGCGGAGCTTGCAGTGAGCCGAGATCGCGCCACTGCACTCCAGCCTGGGCGACAGAGCGAGACTCCGTCTCAAAAAACAAAAAACAAAAACAAACAAACAAACAAAAAAAATACAAAAAACTAGCCGGGCGAGGTGGCGGCGCCTGTAGTCCCAGCTACTCGGGAGGCTGAGGCAAGAGAATGGCGTAAACCCGGGAGGCGGAGCTTGCAGTGAGCTCAGATCCGGCCACTGCATGCCAGCCAGGGTGACAGAGCGAGACTCCGTCTCAAAAAAAAAAAAAAAAAAAAAAAAAAAAAAATTAAATACTGCAAGAATTACCAAAATGTGACACAGACAAAAAGTGAGCACATGCTGTTGGAAAAATGGTTGGGACAGACTTGCTCAATTCAGGTTTGCCACAAACATTCAACTTCTAAAAATACAGTAACTGCTAGGTGCAGTAAAGCAAAGTGCAATGAAACAAAGGTAAGCCTTTTTTGCCACATATTGTCTCATTTTACCCACGAGAAAATTGAGGCACTTTTCTGCACTGGCATGGGTATAAAGAAATAAAAAATTCTAAAAAGAAAATTAAGGCACAGAGGAGTTCAGTACTTTGCCCAGGAACACGCAGCTGACAAGGAGTAGAGCTAGGATTGGACTCTGAGGCATCAGACCTTGGTCTCCCAAGTGCTGTGCTCAGAGGAAATGCAGAACTCCCCTGTATGGTGCCAGGAGTCTCAAAACAAGGAGGCTATAAAGAAGAATGGGAGATACGAGTGGAAAAACTCAATCCTAAGGGAACCGGGCAGCAGAGTGAGGGGTAGACGTGGTGACTCCATACTTCGACATTTCATGAACCACTGAAAAATAAAAAACTGGGAGGGAACTCCAAACAGCAATTTTGCCACATACAGACATTTGCACAAACATCAAAATCAACACTTCACAAAAGAAAGAATTTGTATCAAGAAAAAAATGCAACAAACAGCATCTCACAATGAAGGTATATCTGTTAAACTGAATGAATGAATTTTCTGAGGTGTTCATTGCAATGGCCCTATTATCCTTACTCACTGAGGATGGGGATGCTGGGAAAATTAAGTGAGAAGAGTATCAACAGAGAAACAACAAAAATATGTAGGAAGTAGTAGTGCTAAGGAATGTGTGAGTCTCAGAGAACAAGAACTAGATGGTCACTTTATTCCACACAATAGCTAAGCCAGAAAAAGCCACTATGAAAAGACAGTGACAGGAGCAGACCCATAAAGGGAAGCCAGCACAAGATACCCAGTGTTAGTCCCACAAGGGGCCTGGCTGCAAATCCCACCTTTGGGTTCTACAAAACATCCCCATTTCCTGGTAACGGATCCCTCTCCTTTGGCTGTGACCACAAGCAAACTACATTTCTTAGCCAACCCTTTCTAAGTAAGACACAAAGAGATCAGGAGGAATCAAGTGAGTCAAAATAATGAGGCCAGGCGTGGTGGCTCATGCCTGTTATCCCAGCACTTTGGGAGGCCAAGGTGGGCAGATCACCTGAGGTCAGGAGTTTGAGACCAGCCTGACCAACATGGAGAAACCCCATCTCTACTAAAAATAAAAAAATAAGCTGAGTGTGGGGGCACATGCCTGTAATCCTAGCTACTCTGGAGGCTGAGGCAGGAGAATCACTTGAATCCGGGAGGCGGAGGTTGTGGTGAGCCAAGATCACGCCACTGCACTCCAGCCTGGGCAATAAGAGCGAAACTGTGTCTCAAAAAAAAAAAAAAAAAAAAAGAAAAAAAAAAAAAATTGAGTCAAGCTTTGGGAAACAGGAGGGCTGGCTCCCAAGACCTATTCCACTAGCCCGGCCTGAAGCCAGAATGAAGCTGAATTAGGCTAGAATGAAGCTGCTTTCAGGTGCCCCTGATGTTGGAGAGGAGAGGACAGGCCTTACCCAGTGCGACCAGAAGCCCACAGGTCTCCAGCATCACCTCCACGTACAAGGCCCTCTGGGTCACGTCCAACTGCCCCCACTCCTCCTGGGTAAATGTCACAGCCACGTCCTCGAAGGTCACAGACTCCTGAAAAGTCAAACAGAGCCAGTAATGTTTCCTTTGCAACTGTGGAATAGGATTAGAACCTGTCACTCCAGCACTGCAAAAGATGCACAGAGAATCAAAGGCCAAATCACCAAGCACCTCCAAAGGGCCTAGATCTGTGCTAGGATCAAGGGGAATGTGGACACTGCCTTGCATGGATTACAGCAGCGAAGAGGAGACAGAAGAGGCTGAGGCAGAATTGCTTGAACCTGGGAGGTGGAGGCTGCAGTGAGTTGAGATCGTGCCACTGCACTCTAGCCTGGCAACACAGCAAGACTCCATCTTAAAAAAAAAAAAAAAAAAAAAAAGGCCTCATATGCAGGAAACCACTAGAACTTGACACAGAAATAAGGTTAGGACAATCCGAAGCGGACTGAGAGGCACAGACAGTAAGCACTCTGACATATCAGAGGAATGGGAAAGAAGAATAATAATAACATCAACACCAGCAACAATAACAGGAACAGTACCTGAGTCTTACCGATCCTCCCTGTGTGCCTGCCTCATGCTGACAGGTTTACATGCCATGGTAAAGTGACTGAAAGTCCCCAGCTCAGGAGCCAGACTCCTGAGGTTTAAAACCAAATTCCTGAAATCAACATGTGCCTGCTATGTGACCTTAGGGACCTCATTTCATTTCGCTGAGCCTCGATTTCCAGGTTAGTATAACCGTGTTTCCCACCTCATCAAGAACAGTCAAGGCTGGGCATGGTGGCTCACGCCTGTAATCCCAGCACTTTGGAAGGCTGAGGCACGTGGATTACCTGAGGTCAGGAATTCGAGACCAGTCTGACCAACATGGTGAGACCCCGGCTCTATTAAAAATACAAAAAGTAGCCAGGTGTGGTGGCACAAACCTGCAATCCCAGCTACTAGGGAGGCTGAGGCAGAGAATAGCTTGAACCTGGGAGGCAGAGGTTGCAGTGAGCCAAGATTATGCCACTGCACTCCAGTCTGGACAATGGAGTGAGACTCTGTCCCCCCCCCCCCAAAAAAAAGAATAGTCAAAAGAACTAAAGAAAAACTGTTTGTAGGTTGGGCATGGTGACTCACACCTGTAATCCCATCAGTTTGGGAGGCCGAGGTGGGCAGACCATGAGGTCAGGAAATCGAGACCATCCTGGCCGGCAAGGTGAAACCCTATCTCTACTAAAAATACAAAAATTAGCTGGGCGTGGTGGTGTGTGCCTGTAAGTCCTAGCTATTTGGCAGGCTGAGGCAGGACAATCACTTGAACGCGGGAGGCGGAGGTTGCAGTGAGCCAAGATCGCACCACTGAACTCTGGCCTGGCAACAGAGCTAGACTCTGTCTCAAAAAAAAAAAAAAAAAAAGGAAAGAAAATGAAACAAAGAAAAACTGTTTGTAAAAAAAGAAAAAAAAAAAAACCAAAAAAACACCGAGGCAAAGGCTACACACGGCATCTGAATTTACCATCATCATCTCTATGTCACACTCAGAGACCTGAGGCCCAGATCTCAGGTCCCAGAAGCTCTACCAGTCTACCCAAAGTCACATGTCTTCATGTCTTTTTTTTTTTTCCAGATGGTTTCACTCTGTCACCCAGGCTGGAGTGCAGTGGCACAATGTCGGCTCACTGCAGCCCTGACCTCCTGTGGTCTAGTGATCCTCCCACCTCAGCCTCCTGCGTAGCTGGGACTACAGGCACAAGATGCCACACCAGTCTAATTTTTTGTATTTTTTGTAGAGATAGGATTTCCCCATGTTGCCCAGGCTGGTCTTGAACTCCTGGGCTCAAGCAGTCCACCCACCTCGGCCTCCCAAAGTGCAGGGATTACAGGTGTGAGCCACCATGCCCAGCCCAGAGTCACAGGTCTTATCAACAGAGGCAGGATTTAAGCCCAGGGCCCTCTGGTCTAATTATGTAACCTGACATTTCTCTATTAGCAAAGTTAATGCAGTTAATGAGGATGAAGCATTTCAAATCCATATATCCATTTCAGCCACTCCCATGGACAAGCGCAGAGAAGTGCAGTCATCATCATCCACCTCACCAAAGAATCACCTGAGGTGGTGGCACCTGATCAGGTGTTAGGGCCTGGACCTGCTTCCAGAGAGAATTCACAATGAGCCATCACTTCCTTTTCTACCTGAGTCCTACTAGCAGGTAACCCTGAAGCCAGAATATTCCAGCAGCAAGCAAACAAGAGTCACAGAGGGCACAGCAGGTTGTAGCCATGAGAATATGGGCCCATCTGCAGATTATATCTATCCTGGCTGAGTAGGAGAGTACATTCAGCAACAAAACCATACAAACGTGCCCTCTCAGAATATGTCAGCAGGTAAGGGAGTAAGGGGAACCACATATAAAACCACCGTGGAAGCCACACAGGTCCCCTGGGAACTCCTTAAACAACCAATATACCATTTTTTAAGTCTACACAGTTCCACCAGTATGAAAGGCCATGACTCCTCATGCCCAAGACCACGGCTAGAAGGAGGCCTCATCTTGCAAAGTTTACTTTAGGTGTCACCCCCAGGCCTCCCTAACCATTGCAGGTAAAGAAGAGGTTAAAAACAGACTATGATGGTAAACATACCAGTTGTTAGTTTCTGATACTTAAGAGCTACAGTGATGCAAGGCAAGTAATTGAACGTCTGTGACCCTCAAATTGCTCTTGTGTAAAACAATGATGACAATATAACCTAATTCTAAAGAGTTCAGGATTAAGCCGGTGCGGCGGCTTACACCTGTAATCCCAGCACTTTGGGAGACCAAGACGGGTGGATCACCTGAGGTCAGGAGTTTAAGACCAGTGTGGCCAACAACATGGTAAAACCCCGTCTCTACTAAAAATACAAAAATTAGCCAGGCGTGGTGGCGTGCACCTGTACTCCCAGCTACTCAGGAGGCTGAGGCAGGAGAATCGCTTGAACCCAGAAGACGGAGTTTGCAGTGAGCCAAGGTCACACCACTGTACTCCAGCCTGGACGACAGAGCAAGACTCCGTCTCAAAAAAAAAAAAAAAAAAAAAAAAAAAAAAAAAATCAGGATTACACGAGCTGAGGGTTAAATATTACCCACCGATCAGCCCACAGCAAGGACTCAACGACAGTCAGTTAATATCATTCTTTCTAATTATTTTTCTTTGTTCTCATTACGTCCTTGACAAACTCAAATCCACAAGCTTCTTTAACACCATCAGATTCTCTACACAAAAATACCAGACTCTGGGCAAGGGTGTAAGGTGCCACTTTAGCCGGAGTTGCCAAAAAAGGCACCTCCAAATACGTGACATCTGGACAGAGGCCAGAAGGATGTGGGACGGAGGCCCCCCACTACCGCGGCAGTGTTCGAGGTAAAGGGGGGTCAAGGAGAAAGGCTGGAAAATGGAAGAGGAGTCTGTACGGTCAGCTTGGTGGCTCTGAAGAGCAAAGGACCAGGGAAAAACGCAAAGACACAAGGTCGGGGTGGTTGGCCAAGGGGATGGGGTAGGGGCTGGCAGGCCGCAGACAAGGCTGGATTTAGGGGAAGTGTGATGAGAGCCCCAGAAGGAAGCATCACTCCTCCTTCAACCACGGATTGAACACCTATCAGAGGCCAACACTGTTGCAGGACTGCGGATAAAGGAAATGACAAGCCACGGCCATTTCTCTTAAACGATGGCGACAAAGAAAAATCCTGTGGCTGTCTTGGCTTCCAGCCTGCCCACGAGGCCTCCAGAAATAGCAGAGCAGCAGCAAGTCCGAAACCTCGTCCACTCACCTGCGCCGGAGCCATCCACGCCGCCGCCATCCCGGGAATGCCGCGGATCAGCCGACCACAGCCCTTCTCTGTCCTGGGCGGGGCGACCTCGGCTGACTTTCGCACTCTGAGCCTCAGTTTTCCCCCCAAAAAAATGCGCACAAGGCCCAGGGCGCAGCGTCGGGGCTGAGGAGACGGAGGGCGGCTGCGGAGGCCTAGGCCTCGACGGGCGCCAGTGGGATGCCTCGTTAGGGGAGAAGCGGGGCGTCAGGCTCCCGCCAAGACGCGGAGAAGGGGCGTAACCGCTTCACTACCCTTCCCTGCTCAGGCCGCAGAACGCGCCCACCCAGCGCTCTAGGCCCCACACTGTTTCAGGGCCAAGCCGGCCCACGGAGATGACGTCACACGAAGAAGCGGAAGTCCCGCCTCCGCCGCCCTGGCCCGCAGAAAACGCTCCTGTCCTGGGCCGTCAATGGCCCAGAGTCCGCGGCCGACGCAAGGGACGGTGCCTTCTGGGTAATGCAGTTTTTCCCTTACATCTACCGGGTGTGGGAACTCACCCAGCGCATCCGACTCCACGTAAGTGCGCACCAGAACCCCCGCGTCGTCTTAGGGCCGCCGCTTTAGTATAGGCACACGTCGGAGGGTCGAAAGGTCCCTTCAAGCTCAGGAAAATCGAGGTCAGGAGGCGGGGATAGTCGCCCCGATTCAGACCCCGAACAAAGGTGCTTACCCTGCTGTGGGGCTGGGCCCGCGACTTCTCGCTCGCTTTGCCTCTTTTCTGGATCTTTTCATAGAAGAAAAGGATAAATGAGCAGTTAAAATAGCCACCCAAAGGAGGACGCCTGACAGTGTGCCCGGCCTGCTGGGAAAGGACAGACCGCCCTCTATTGGGCCTCCTTTGGCCGGGCCCAGCCTTCAAAGGATGCAGGGACTTCCGGGTGATGTAATAGGCTTCGCGTTCGCCACGTGTGGACTTCCCATACCCTGAGGTGGGGAGGCTGCTAGTGGAGCAGGCTTGCAGGGAAGCCCAGTACTCCCATTTCAAGCATGATCAGTTTGAAACGTCAGTGAGACCTCAAAGCGTAGTGCCATCTACTCAACCTATGATTCAACATTGGCAGAGGGTTCGAGAATGGATATATAAATTTGAGAGTTACCGTAAACTGTTACTTCAAGTCATGTTATTAGGTGAGGCTATGAAAAGAATGGATAAGTGACGGGAAAGAGGGGAACCCTGGCCCAACCCAGCATTAACTGGTTGCAGACAGGAGACCAATAAAGTCATGTTAGGATTTTAACAATCCTATATTATGCAAAAGATATCTATATTATGCAAAGTGTTCGTAGTCCTCATCAGTAACTTTTTTTTTCTTTTCATGATTATGAAAGTGAGAGAATAAAGTCCAGCTTTCAATGGTTTGACGATATATATGGTTATGAAAATAGAAACAAGGTGTGCAGAACGTACTCCCCAAGAGATTTAATTTCGAGATTGAAAATAGTCAACGAATGGAGATGGGGTCAATTTCCTACACGATGCTGTCTATAAAATACTTCTGGAGAAATATTTTTGGCTAAATTAGTGTTCTAGCAACACTGTTATTCATCATTGGCAATAAAAAGACATCATTCTCTTTTTCACATACTTATGACTCTTATAATTAAATCTTTTTTTTTTTTGAGATGGAGTTTCACTCTTGTTGCCCAGGCTGGAGTGCAATGGCACGATCTCGGCTCACTGCAACCTCCGCCTCCTGGGTTCAAGCGATTCTTCTGCCTCAGCCTCCCAAGTAGCTGGGATTACAGGCATGAGACCCCACGCGTGGCTATTTTTAGTAGAGACGGGGTTTTTCCATATTGGTCAGGCCGGTCTCGAACTCCCGACCTCAGGTGATCCGACCGCCTCGGCCTCCCAAAGTGTTGGGATTACAGATGTGAGCCAACGCGCCTGGCCAGACTCTTATAATTAAATTTAAATGTTTTTTTCAGAGGCGTATGAACCAGAGCAACTCCATCTTAAATAGGAGCTGGGTAAAATGAAGCTAAAGCCTACTAGGCTGCATTCCCAGACAGTTAAGGCATTCTGAGTCACAGGATGAGATAGGAGGTCAGCACAAAATACAGGTCATAAAGACCTTGCTGATAAAATAGGTTGCAGTAAAGGAGCTGGCCAAAACCACCAAAACCAACACGGTGACGAGAGTGACCGCTGGTCGGCCTCACTGCTACACTCCCACCAGTGCCGTGACAGTTTACAAATGCCATGGCAATGTAAGGAAGTTACCCTATGTGGTCCGAAAAGGGGAGGCATGAATAATCCACCCATTGTTTAGCGTGTCATCAAGAAATAACCATAAACATTTGCAACCAGCAGCCCTCGGGGCTGCTCTGTCTATGGAGTAGCTATTCTTTATTCCTTTACTTTCTTAATAAACTTGCTTTCACTTTACTCTATGGTCTCGCCCTGAATTATTTCTTGCGCGAGATCCAAGAACCCTCTCTTGGGGTGAGGATTGGGACCCCTTTCCTGTAACATATTCCTGGCCACCGCGGAAGAGACTATACTGCAGAAACCCCTGACCCAAAGGCTAACTTTGGGTGTGTGGTGGGATCCAGTAACACCTTTCTTGCAAACCACAAAAGGAACAATACTGAGGAGATCCCCCTGACCCAAAGGAAATAGACTGCAGCACTGATTGGACCACTTTGGATAAGTGGTGGGGTATCCAAGTTAAGAATGGGATTGGGATAGACGCTCAAGTTAGGGGAGTTATAGTCTCTCCTAAGACAGAGTGGGTTAGAGGCCCCTCTTAATAAAAGGCAAGGACACTTGACCGACCTTGGGTTAGAGGCCCAAGTCAGGAGGATTAGAGTCGCTTCTAAGATTTAGGGGATTAGAGACCCCTCTCAGTAAAGTCTCTGCTGGCTAAGAACAGGTTTGGCACCGTGGGATGTTAACTCCTATTCTCTTTGGATTAATCTGCCTTGCATTCTTTGTTGATGACTGTGGGCAACAGGGTTAGGCATGTACAGGATCATGAGACACGGGGAGCTTTTTCCTCCCGCAAAAGGGGAAACTTGAGAGCTGAGGGCACTGCCGGAAAAAAATACCTTCACGACAGCAGCCGCAGCCGCCTGAACTTTTCAGTGTCACTACAATGGGTGGGTCTTTCTCTGGCCTCCCTGATCATTTCCCCTTCCTTGGGAAAGTATTGCCTGTGGAAAGTATTTCCTGGGAAAATATTACCTGGGAAAGTATTTCCCTTTCTTATCTTTTCTGTTACTCAGGGCGACCATCTTCCCCAGAGACCACATGTTGAAACTCCAAGTCAGAGGCTGGATTAAAGATGACGGGGCCCATCTGGGGGCAAATTTAAGCCTTGCCATTTTAATATTGGGTGCTAAGCAGAGTGGCTAATGTGTATGTTTTATCGCATGTATTTTGTTCTGGTCAGAATGAAAAAAGGTAATTTTTCTTTATAATGCGACTTGGCCCCCAGGGCAATGCTGCCACAAGCCAGATCACTGGGACCACTCAGAAAAAGGGAACACAGAAATCTCGCATGCCAGCAAAAGGGTAAGAATTTGTTACCAGTCAGATTTCTGATTTCTCTCTCTATGCAAATGGTTGAATGAATGGTAAAATAATAATAATAATAATAACAAATCAATAAATCAGTGTTTATCTCCTCTGTAAAGTTTTGATTAATGTGAAAAAGAATTGTAAGGCTAGTCTTAAGCTGGTGTATTTTGTGCTTTGAATTCATTTTTCTGTAGGATAAAACATGGGCTTAGAACACCTGTAAGCCCGCTTTTCAAGACGACCCAGCAAGCTGGTCAAGTCCCTGACACAAACAAACTGGATGAAGTCTCCCCCTTGTTTTATGTCCTTGGGAGCTTGGCCTTTTAACCATGTAGTGGTACCTTCTCTTGGTCTCTGCCTTCTAGGGAACAGGAATTTTAGGGTTCATGTCATAGTCAGCTCTAAAAATCATATTAAGTAGTTAAAAGCCCTTGCAAGCTCAAAATTAACTACTCTAGGCTTCTGTGAAAGGAAGTGGGCATCGTCCTGTGCTGTAGCTCAGTAACTAAGGTTTTTGCACTTCCACAGTGGCAGTCTGGGTTTGATACCCCACCTAGGAAGTAAGTCATTTCTGGTTTAATATCTGCGGGACCTTGTCTATTCTCGTCTCCTCCACAGACTGTTTTAAATTGTCCTTTTTCTGTGCACCTAGGAGATAACCTTTGGTAAAGTTCAGAAGCTAGAAATATTGGCTTCTTGGCATGGCTAAAGTTGGGTAATAAGAGATTTGAAAGGATTTCTTTTTTAAAGAGCACTATGGTTAAAAGTTAGCTTAATTAAAAGTGGATAGGCTGGGTGTGGTGGCTTATGCCTGTAATCCCAGCACTTTGGGAGGCCGAGGCGGGTGGATGACTTCATTACTGGAAGCCAGTAATCCAGTTAAAAAACTGGCAAATGAAAAACCTTACAAGTGCTGAATCTTTTGTGTGTCTGTGTATTTATATGTGTTGTATGTTTAGATATAAAAGAGTTCTAATTAGAGTTCTAATTAATTGCCTTAGAAAAATAAGTGCTTAAATCAAATATTTTGTCAGCAAAATAGAAACTGTAATGCATTTTTGTTCTTGTGACTTTAGTAATCTTTTGGAAAGAAAGACAGTTTTAGAGATTATTGGTAAAATAAAATATCTTGAAAATGTAGATGCTTGGTCTAAATTAAGGTCAGATATCAGATTGCTAAATGCTTTAAGGTCAAACTGTTTCTTTAACTTTTGAAAATTGTTCAATTTACCTACCCTTAAAGCCAGTAGATTCTAGGTAAGGCCTGGGGACCTCTGGAGTTAGCCACACCCCCTTTTAACCATAGTGCTTTTAACCATAGTGCTCTTTAGTTATGCTGGAGATTCAATTCCTATTTGCACTTCTGCCTGGTGTGTCCTAGGCAGGCTCCACACCTAGTACATAATTAAAATTCCTTACTTACCAAGGTTTTCACCAAAAATAAAAGTTGCTAAGAGTTAACATTATAACATGTAACTGACACTACTAAAGAAACAATTTTACATGGAAGGGGTGTAAGAAAAGCAAATGTGTTTTTGGTTAAAAAAAAAAAAGAAAAAGAAAATGATTATAAGAAGGCATGGAAATGTGGACATTTTTTCTGCCTAAAGTGTTGAACGTTTGTTTTAAGTAAGAAAAAAAATCTAAATATTTAAACAAGTTCTGGAAGGTTTATAAAAATTAATTGTAAGAGATTCTGTGTGTGAACATATTGGCTAAAGTTAAAGGGGTATTACTCTGTTTTTCCATAAATTAAACATTCATCTCAAAAAAAAAAAAAAAGAATCTTACCTTATGGTTAAACATTAAAATTGGGTAAATATGTCTATAAGGGTTTTTTTTTTTTTTTTTTTGAGACAGAGTCTTGCTGTGTCACCCAGGCTGGAGTGCAGTGGCACTATCTTGGCTCACTGCAATCTCCACCTCCTGGGCTCAAGTGATTCTCCTGCCTCAGCCTCCCGGAGTAGCTGGGACTACAGGTACCTGGATAATTTTTTTTTTTTTTTTTTTTTTTTTTTTGAGATGGAGTATCGCTGTGTTGCCCAGGCTGGAGTGCAGTGGCCCGATCTCTGCTCACTGCAAGCTCCACTGCCTCCCGGGTTCATACCATTCTCCTGCCTCAGCGTCCGGAGAAGCTGGGACTACAGGCGCCCGCCACCACGCCCCACTAATTTTTTTGTATTTTTAGTAGAGACGGGGTTTCACCGTGTTAGCCAGGATGGTCTCCATCTCCTGACCTCGTGATCTGCCCGCCTCAGCCTCCCAAAGTGCTGGGATTACAGGCGTGAGCCACTGCGCCCGGCCTAATTTTTGTATTTTTAGTAGAGACGGGGTTTCACCATGTTGGTCAGGCTGGTTCGAACTCCTGACCTCATGATCTGTGCACCTCGGCCTCCCAAAGTGCTGGGATTACAGGTGTGAGCCACCGCATCCGGCCATCTATAAGGTTTTATTAAAAATTGGGCTTCACATTAATAGTACATTAATGTAAAGGTGAAATTTGGCTTATTTGGTATAAAGATCATACAGGAAGCATTATCAAATGTGAAATGGTGTTTTGCTTTCTTTGGATTATATTTGCATAAATATGTTATTGGTATATGTTCCAAAATTATGGGAAACTCCTATAATTCTAATATGACTTAGTGTATGTTATTAATAATTATAATTGTTATGTAAAATTTTGTGTGCCACAGAACCAAATTTCCTTATCAATTGTGGCCTTAATAGTGGCTGTCCTGAAACTTCTTATCATCCACAGACAATTGTCTTGTTTTAATCATCTTTAGAAGATGGTTTATAATCAACTATAGAACTCCAGGCTGGGCGGGTGCAGTGACTCAAACC